TTAACTGATTTTTTTATTTTAAATCTTAAAATTTGTATTAATTTTCTAGAAGACTCACGCCCCCCTTAATGTTGCTTCACGCTCCCCCAGGGGGGCGCGCCCCCCAGTTTGGGAACCGCTGATTTAGAGTAATGAGCGAAGCTCTTTAAAGTGAATAAGCTTTATCAGTATTGGTACTGGCAACTGGCAGATTCTGTAGAGGTTCAAGTCTTGCAGGATCAGGTTTAAGTGTTATATATGTTTCCTATAAGATATCCCAGTAGTTTAATTGTTTTTTTGTTGAACGAACTTTTACTTTTATTTATTTATAGGTAACTACCTATAAATAAATAAAAGTAAAAGTTAGGTTTTACTTTTTAACAGCGGTCAGAAAAGCTGATAGATTCTAATGGTTCTCTTACCTGATTATTGTATCTAAGACTCTTTGAAAATAAGCTACGCCGTTAGTCACACCAAAAGGGATACGATTAAACTGGTACACGTTTCCATCAGTTTCAAAAGCAGTGAACTGTTTTTCATCATCTCTTATAGGGAACAGGTGATACGTACTTTCTAGGTCAATAGTGCTAAAAACGTCAAATTTTGAGACTGCTCTTACCAACCCTTCAATAGGTAAAGGATAAGCGTCAAGGAAAGTAAACTTAACCATTTTATTTTTATGATTTTCGCTCTTTGTCTCAAGAACTTGTGCTCGCCAGAAAGATACAATGATACCTTCTGAAAGCAGTGGCGAAAATTTTCTCTATTTTGTAGCGATTGATTTACCTTGCGATGATAGATTAGCGAATAATTGCAGAGGTTCAATATAAGCAGGAGCTAGACAACAGTGCTTGGTTTCAAGTACAGTCATGGCAGATTTTCGTCCTCCAAAATAAACGGTCAACATTTTATGTTGTTTAAAAATGTCATGACCAACGATAATATCAGCACAGACACAACCCTCTTTACGTATCCAGCCATGAACAAAGTAGACGCGGCAACACTGCTTGGTGGTAATGGTGGTATAGGTACAGTCTCCATAATCGTGTAACAGCTGATGAGTATTATAATCTCTAAAACTGTTGTTTATAGCTTTTTTTATTAAAATAAGCTGAAAATATAGTTAAATTATAGATAGGTATTCTTGTTAGTGAATAATTAACTAGTTGGAACCATTTCCAGAGTGTTTTTGTTAATAAGCAGTCACACAGTGTCAAGTTTTCTTCTGCTCTAAATAAGTGCCGGTGCCGGTTTGTGTGTTTGTAAACAATAATAGTTTCTGGACCCAAATTCGTTGTGTTTTGAAGCTTAAAGTGAACAGTTATGTTTTACTGATACCTATATACGTACTCTCAAATTTTTGAATTTAATAATTTATTATGCCGAAAACGTGCTGTGTCCTTATTCTTGAAACAGGGGAGCAGCGTTCCCGGGAGAACGAATGCTCCGTCTTTCTCAATGATATGAAAATGATAATGTAAGGAACAAAGACGGAACACTCGTTCTCCCGGGAATGCTGCTCCCCTGCTTCAAGAATAAGGACACTGGTGTCCCGGGATGCAATTGATGAAAATCCAATTATGAGAGACGAGAGTAGCCTAAAACAAGGTAAGACAGCTGTTTCTACCTTTAAATTTCCAAACCAAATGATGTGAGTGATTTAAGAGAAAAATGGGTAAAATTATTCCCTAGGGATAACTGGACACCATCAAAATATTCTGTTGTTTGTGCTTTACACTTTTCGGAAACAGCCATTATTCGCAATGATTATCTATCACTATAATAATTATAATTTGGTATCCAACCACATCTGTTTAAATTTAAATTCATATAGGACCTCTCAGATGTATGTTTCTGCTTCTTTGTATAATTAGTTAGATGATTACTCGATGATTTAGATTTGTTCTGTTTTGTAAAAATGTTGCTAGAACTTGCCCTCAAACTGGGCTCAATAAAAAGTACTTTTTTACTATAAATAAAACATTTACATTAAAAAAAAAATTATATTTTTTTTCCATAACCCTTGTTAAACTGCCAAATTTTACTGCAAGGACGCGACGCAACTCACGACGGTCATACCACCAAGTCATTGATGATGCAGTGTTGCCGCATGTTTGTTCATGGCTGGATACGTGAAGAGGGTTGTGGCACAGAGGTCTAGTGGAACCGAAACTTTTACTTTTGCATACTGATGATTAAGAATGCGGTTGACAACATAAAATCGTTCGCTTTGTGCTCGCAGAGAAGTTTGAGCCATCCATAGACACATAACCTTTACTTGGTTGAATTCGGAGATTATTGGATGTTATGTTGGTATGCTTAAGGCCACAGCCACAGCGCAAGTCCGGCCGAGCTTGACTGCAACCCTCAGGGCCCATTTATAAACTTGACGTTACGATTCCGTTACCGTTTACGCCTGCCGTCGTGTACATAAAAATATATGATTCCATAAGATCGTTTATATTCACCGTCCGCCGTTAGCTCTGCCGTTCCATTCCGTTAGCGGAACCCGACGATAACGGACAGTCTGCTACATACCTACCTACCGCGAACACCATCAACGGTCCACGACGTCACGTCGTTACGTCATCCACCTAACCAATCATGCTCATTCTCTAATGTAACTCGTAATTTAATCATAATAGAATTGTATTGAAATAGTGCCTTTTATTTCCACCCGGATACCACATTGGATAAAACAAATAAATGACTCATTCAAGTAATCTGAGACTTACTGCCAGTATCTACTAACGCATCTGCCGATAACTGATTGATTTCTACTGGCACCGCAGTTTTTGATAAACTTTCAGCAACAGAAGCCAATGTTTGAGACAGAATAGATGCAGTTGTACCTCGATATGAATTTCGACAAACAGTAGAGAAATTACCTTTTCTACTGCATTGTTTGCATGTAAAGCGATCATGCCTTCTATTCCCACAATAATAGCATGTAGAAAATTTCCCAGTAGCTCTCAAAACAGTGTATCTTTGTTGCTGCACTTGAGGATCTTCCGCGTTACTAGAATTGATGAAACTTGTTGAAGCTGTTTGGTATACCTCAGAATGTTTTTGAGCAGATTCAAGAGATAAAGCTTGTGATTTTGCTTCATCTAAAGTTAGATCACTTTTTTCCAAGAGGCGTTGGCGAATTTCATTTGACAATAAGTCGCTAATGAATGCATTTCTAATGGAAAGTTCGCGATGTTCTATGGCAGTTACGTTTTTGAAGTTACAATATTTGCTGGACGGATTCAAAATTTGAATGTACTGGCTCATGGTTTCTGCATGTTGCTGTTTCCTCGAAGAAAGAATATGTCTTGCAAATGGTTCATTTTGAGGTTTTATATAGATGTTATCCAAGATAATCACAGCATCAGCGTAGGTTTTTGCTTCAGAAACGTATTTGAATAAGTTGTGACTCACATAGTTTGTGAGCAGCTGCAGCTTTTGTGCTTCCTCTACATCCTTTACTGACGACATGAAGTTCTGGAATGTAGTTTTCCAGTGACACCATTCCTCCGCTGCATTTGAAAAGCTGGGATCAGTCAAACCTTTCAGGTCTCAGGAGCTTGTAGGTCTTAAAAATTAGCACAACGAAAATGGCACACATCAGAAAAACTAGAGTACTAAATTCAGGCCTATTTAGTGCTAATTTAGTACGAAAAAAAATAATTTATAACTCTATTTTTAAAAAAATTACGTGCATGTGTGCCAGCTTAAGATTAAGCTGGCACACTCTAGTTGGATAAGGTCGAATCTTTGAAAATCTAGAACCTCATATTTAGTGCTAATTTGGTACATTCATGGCATGGCACGCCTAAAAAATTAACAATGATGTATTTATTACGAAATAACCAGGGAAAAGTGCTAACTTAAGACTTGAATTGGCACACATACATCGAACCGACCGCGCGAGAACGGAATTCGCATGCACATATTTAGTGCTAATTTAGTTCTTCAAAAACGACGACCTGAAACGAACTAGTATCACATCAGCACAGAGCTAACCCAAACTAACCCAAAATAACCCGAACTAACCGATACCAACCCGAACTAACCCAAACTAATGTGTAAAATTAGCACTAAATGTGTGCTAATTTAGTACTCTAGTTTCATCGCGTCATCGGCGCTAATGTTTGTTAACTTAAACACTAAGCCAGCACACAAGTGCTAACTCTGTGCTGATGTGATACTAATTCGTTTCGGGTCGTCGTTTCTGAAGTACTAAATTAGCACTAAATATGCGCATGCGAATTCCGTTCTCGCGCGGTCGATTCGATGTATGTGTGCTAATTCAAGTCTTAAGTTAGTACTTTTCCGGGGTTATTTCGTAATCAAAAAATCATTGTTAGTTTTTTAGGCCTGCCATGCCATGAATGTACCAATTTAGCACTAAATATGAGGTACTAGATTTTCAAAGATTCGACCTTATCCAACTAGAGTGTGCCTGCTTAATCTTAAGCTGGCATACATGCACGTAATTTTTTAAAAAATAGAGTTATACATTATTTTTTTTTCGTACTAAATTAGCACTAAATAGGCCCGAATTTAGTACCCTAGTTTTTCTGATGTGTGCTATTTTCGTTGTGCTAATTTAAGGAACCAGGAGCTTATCCATAATGTCGATTAAATTGTAGTAATGCCCCAGAAATAAGGTTTAACGACAAAATTAAGCATCAGATTAACTTGACAAATAATTAATGACACAATCTTGAATGACACACAAATACAGGTAGACATGGTATTAAAACATAAAGGTGTATCCCCACATAGCTAACCAAGGAAATAATCACCATCAATAAAACCGCTCTCCATTTACCATCTTACTAATTAATGGAGTAGTTGGGCAGTCTGCTACAATTCCTACTAAATCATAACTCAGAGAAACCAGAAAACACCAGTTTTACCTTTTAGTTCAAACATCCCAGGTTGTAGCTTTCATGAAACGTACTTCTTAGAAGTAAGTATAATAGGATTTTATGAAAAGCGGTTTTGGTAAAGGGGTCTTTGGTAGTTCTCAAGAAAAGATGAAGTTATAAAAATATCTATTGATGATAGCTACAACAGATAAAGGGAATTGTTTTAATTTAGTTAGTTATACTTCGTGGAGGAATACAAAATAGAGTAGACATTAATGCTCTAGATTCAGTTCAAAGATAGATGGTACTTAGACTAAAACAAAATAAAAGAATACAAATTTCTACACCCAACCTTCTATTCCTCATACTTTTATTGAAGAATGTGTTTTAAGTTAGAGGCTAGTTTTCCGCCATATGCTTGTGAAGTGCTCATTGAACCAGGCAGTAATTTTATCTTTCTCTACAAATTCGCTTATGATTTTTTTGTTCATTTTCCTGCATTTTGTCTATGTGAAAAAAAGAGTATTCAATAACTGATGGCGTTGATGATGAATGAAAATATTATGAGGTGCCTTTTCAAATTGTCAATGCAAAAGCTCGAATAATAAAAAACTCAACATACACTCTATACTTAAAAAGATTTAATCTTGATTTATATTAGTTATAAAGATACTTAACTATAGCTCAGTGGCGTGTTTACCATGGAAGCTAGGGAAGCACAGCTTCCCCTAGAGAATTTCTTAAAAAGAACCCCATTGTTGAAAATTAAATCAGAAATTTTCCGAATTTTGTCCATAAATCAGATTAATTCGAGTTTGTCTTAGTACATATTTATACTGAACCACTGCGCGCGGCCCAATGCGATGGCGCGACGCGACGACGAGAGCCGACGATTTCGTTCGGCGTTCCGACTCCCTTGGAAGCGGTAAATGCTCAGCGTATCGCGGCTATATGAATTTTATCCAGATTCAATTTTAGGAAGGCGTGTCTAGGGGAAATTTTTAACCGTGCAAAATAATAGGGAAGAGTACGCTGTTTTCGGACAGATTATTGTTTCAATTATGGATGCTGTTGCAGGTACAAGTTCGAGTAAGAGTGAAAATGGACTCTTATGTGTATGTATTGTGTGTCAGATAGTGTTGAAAGGATTTTCCACTTATATTTTTGAAGAAAAAAAACAAATTATTTCCAAGGGTAGGCCAACTCCTGCCATTCCAAATTTAATTAAAAAAACTAAACTTTATGTTAGACATTTTCAGCAAGAAATATATAAAACTTGTGAATGGCTGACTGGTTGTGAAAATAAGTCTCTCCTGTTTTGCTGGCCATGTCTCTTGTTTTCTATCGAAAAAAATTTGTGGAATAAAAATGGATTTTCAGATTTAAATAATTTACATAAGTTGATTAAAAGACACGGATCTAGTAAGTCGCATTTGCAAGCAATAGTTAAAGAAAAAATTTTTGGAAAAGTAAGAATAGAACACGCGCTAGACCAAAATCTAAGAATTGCGACTGAAAAACATAACCAGGAAGTAGCGAAAAATCGCGAAATAATTAAAAGGTTGATAGATGTCGTATGTTTTCTTGGCGAACATGAACTTGCTTTTCGGGGACACGCTGAAACTGAAACTTCTTCTAATAAGGGAAATTACGTAGATCTACTACATTTGCTTGCAAAGTATGACGAAACATTAAAATTTCATTTAGACAATTCTACAAGATTTAAGGGAACTTCTAATTTGATACAAAATGACCTAATTTTGTGTGTAGAAGAAGTAATATTGAAAAAAATTAAATCTGAAATAGAAGACACCAATTTTATTGCTATCATCCTTGACGAAACTACAGACGTCGCAAATATTAGTCAGTTATCAAAAGTCGTTCGCTATGTAACAAAAAATGGTGAAATCAAAGAACGTTTTCTAGGATTTATAAACGTTTCTACGCAAAGAACAGCCCTTGCCCTGCACAATCTCGTTCGAACAATAATTGATGATGATCTCAACTGTGGCTCGAAGTTAATAGCTCAAAGTTATGATGGAGCCGCAGTTATGTCAGGTGAATTAGGGGGATTACAAACAAAAGTGAGAGAAACATATCCAACTGCACTTTTTGTACATTGCATGGCGCATCGGTTAAATTTGGTTTTACAGCAGTCGCTCAACATTATAAAAGAATGTAAGATTTTTTTCTCAACCCTAAGCGGACTTGCAGCCTTTTTCTCAAAATCTTCAAAACGAACTAGTGCTTTAGATGAAGAAGTTCATAAGAGACTCCCAAAAGTAGCACCTACTCGATGGAACTATAATGGCAAACTAGTACAAACTGTATCTGAATATCGTCAACCACTCATCGACTTTTTCAAAAACATATTGGATAACCAGGAAAAATGGGACAACGAGACTAGAGTATGCTCTAGAGGATATTTAAATATGTTAGAAACAGAAATTAACTTCAATCTTTTATTAATTATTTTCTCGGAGATATTTCCATTTTGTGACAGTTTATTTGCAGTATTACAAAACAAAACAAGTGACGTAAATTTCTGTATAAAAAAAATTAAAGAATTTAAATCTATAGTTTTGTCTAAAAGAGAACAATTTGACAGCCTGTGGATTAAATTTGGACAGTTAGAAATTGATATTGAGCCGCAAAGGAAAAGAATTTGTTCTGATGTTCTTGTAGAACATAGAACAGACCAAAAAGCAAGATGCCGAAAACTATTTTTCGAAATCATTGATAACATCTCAGCCCATATAGATTCCAGATTTCAAAATTTCAATAGTCTGAAATTTCTTGAGTTAACTAACTTCCTTGATAATAGAACGGTTTCTGAAGAAGCTTTCGAAGCATTGAAACATAATTATCCAGATTGTTTTGAATTTCCTGCACTTCGTTCTGAACTTTCAGTTATATACAATACCTCAGAAGGATTGAATAAAAATAGTGCTAGTGAACTTTGGAAATCTCTTAAAGAATGTGGATTGTATCGGGCTTTTCCCGAAGTACTTAAGCTATGTGAACTTGCAGTGACTATCCCTGCCACAAGTGCTTCTACAGAACGTAGTTTTTCCGCGCTAAAACGAATTAAAAGTTTTGTCAGAAATTCCACCGGACAAGAGAGACTTTCTGCTTTGGGATTAATCTCAATAGAAAAAGAATTAGTGCAAAAATATGCGAGCGAAACCAATTTTTATGACGAAGTGATTGATGTGTTTGCAAATAAAGACAGAAGAATAATCCTCAAATTTAAGTGAAGGTAAACTTTTTTTTTACGTTAAAAAAGTAGGTACACAATGTATTAGGCACCTAACACATCTTTTATATAACAACATGGAAATTTTCAAAAAATTAAGAATAAATGTCCCATCATTTTTTTCGCGCATTTTCACCGTCTTTCCCCACAGCTTCCCCCTCTGTTGAAGTCTGGACACGCCACTGCTATAGCTACAATATGATGAAAGGAAAAAAAATAATAAAAAATAATCAACAGAAATATGTTATACTCTGTTCCAACCAACATGAGAACCGTTCTAAAACGGTAATTTCCAGTCGATCAATTAATTTGTCAAGTAGGATTAACATTCAACTTTTTGAAAAATAGGTGGGCAACTTAAAATTACTGTTTCTGGAACGGTTCTTATGTCGGATGGAACAGAGCTAATAATTACTGACATAGCAGTAAAAATTCAGTTTTAACAATAATAATCCTTAAAACCTGAAATAGTCCAAGATAGTTGTATTTTTGGGAGGAGTGAAAAAAAAATAAAAAAATAGAGGCAAACTGATTCTTCCAGGATTGTTCAAGGGGGGTGTCCTGAGTGTAAAAATACCGGAATCAGGAACTTTCCTCTTTTACGCCCTTAGCTATGGGGTTTTTTTCTCAACATTGTGCTACAATGGAATTTTTGGGTCTATTGTAGATAATCGGATTTTCTGTAACTTTCTGCTATACTTAGTATTTTTCAATCTATTATTTATTAAGCTAGCCCCCATTTTGTAATGGCGGGTTTATAAAAAAAAAAATTAACACTTAAACAGTTAAACTAAGAATTAACATTTAACTTAAATAATGTTCACCTTACGAGTCTATCACTATGGGGAAAGAATGCGGATAAAAAAATTGCACCATTGTCTATTAGACTTCCAATAGAAAATACCCTAATATTTATCTATATTACAGACCTACATTTATAAGGAAAAAGTATTATTTAAAAACGCTGCGCGCACGCCTATGACAGGCAGCATAAAGCTCGAAATGAATGGCGTTATTTCCCCTTGCTCTTCAGACGTCGTAGTGCTAGACTCGTAAGGCGAACTATAGTTGACGTTATGATATGTTACGTAGCGGTTCATAAAAAAAAAATTAAGACTTATCAACTAAGAATTACATAAATTCTTAGTTGTAAGTTAATTTTCTTAAATAAGTTTAAGTGTTATTTTTTTTTATAAACTCGCCATAAGCAATTTAGTACTTCCAATCAAACTACTATACAGAGTGGGCCAATAGACACATTCCACCCTGATTTCTTGGATTTGGAATGAAAATCTGGAAAAACGCTCGGAGTCGGATATGTCGATTTGTGATTTGAGGGGGAACTATTTTTCATCCCTGTAGCTTTAACCCCCTATAGCTGGGTGGAGAACAATCCTCCAAATTCAAATAGGGGATAGGGTTCGTATCATACCTCTTTTTAAAGATATCATCGAGTTCTTTATGACCCTAGAATTTCGTCGTATTATTTTTATCCGTAACGAAATAACAGCTTGTCAAAACCTTGGAAATAGACTATTGTTTTAGTAGAAGTAAAAGCGATATTTAGGTACCTCCTTTAACAAAAATACTTACAATGGTTGTTCTAGTTTTATGATTATTATTAAATATTTATTATTATTAATAATTGAAGTTGTTTTTTTGCTTATTATGTATTATCATTATTATTATTAATAATAAAACTTTATTGTAAGAATTTTTATTAAGGGAGGTAAAGTCCGTCGATTTTAATCTGATACTTTAAGGAATGTGAACTGGTGGCTCCCTACAGAACGCCAATGCTCACCTAACGTCACACCTGTTTTTGCCATATGCTTCACCCCCTCACTCCTAATACAGAAAGTATCAGATTAAAAACGACGGACAATAAGTGTCACTTTTAGTCCTACTTAAACAATAGTTTATTTCCAACAATTTGACAACCTATCATTTTGTTATAGATAAAAATAATAAGATGAAATTCTAGGGTCATTAATAAATCGCTGAGACCTTTAAAAACATGTATGACACGACCCCTATCCCCCACTCAAATTTGGGGGGTTCTTCCCCCAGCTAAGGGGTTTAAACTACAGAGCCTGAAAAAAAGATGGTCTCAAATCAAAAATCGTGTTAGAGTTTTTCCAGATTTTCATTTCAAATCCAAAAATTGCAGTAGAAAGTTTCCATTGGCTCACCCTGTATAGTAGTTAAATCGGTGGTACAAAATGGCTTACAAAATGGGCGCCAGCTTAATAAATAATGAATTTAAAAAAAAATAGTATAGAAAAAAGTTGTAGAGAATCCGATTATCTACAATAAGAGATTAGAAATTCCATTGTAGCAAAATGTTGAGAAACAAACCCTATAGTTAAGGGCAGAAAGTTTCTGATTCTGGTGCTTTTACACTCAGGATACCCCGCTTGACCAATGCTGAAAAAATCAGCTTGCCTCAAATTTTTATATATATTTTTTTTTTCAAACAACAATTATCTTGGCCTAAAAATGCAACAAAAAAGATTAAAACCTAAAAATTAACAATGTATCTATAATATAAAAACATGTTGCAAAAAAATATATAAAAAATACTATATCTGATATTCTGTTGATGTTTTTTTCTGCTTTCTAAGCAAATTACCTTATTGAGTAGGTGAAAATTCAGTTGGCACCATAACTCTACAATGCATTTCTCTGATTAAAGGAACTGTATAAGCAACACATTCGTCCCATCCGGGAGACCTCCATGCACTCTCTCTGGTCTCTTTTCTCTTATTCAAATTCTCATAACACCAAATATGATGCACATTATACAATCTACCAACTTGAGAGAAGAATCCTGCAAATGCTTCGTCGTTGTTTTTCCTAAAGTTAATAGCTCGGGCCCAATTATTGCCCCATTCAATCATCGTTCCGGGTTTCAAGGCGTAACTTCTGATTTCGTAAATATTTTTTGGGTTTCTTGCTAGAATTTGAGGCCAATAGCTGAATGCTAACAAATACTGTAGATGTCTTGCACGGACTACTTTGCCTTGTTCTACACGAAGCTTTTCATATTCCTAAAAAAAAAAATTGATTTTTAACTAATACCTATAGAGTTGATTTTTTTATTTAAATAATTACTTCGTTTGTATCTGTAATGTGATTGAAAATATCAATTTGCTTGAAACCTCCAGTAAATTTCCATAAATGAAGAGCCTGATCTTGATCTCCGACATTAACCACCCAGCTGCCCACTAGGCTTACAGAGTCTTTTAACTGGTCCTGAGATTTGACCCACTGAAGGGTGTTTTTCCTAAACACACGAAACATAATTGAAACACCTAAATAGGTACAAATGTTCAATTTATTCTTACACATTATTCAAATAGGCTTGTTTGGAATCGGGCTTGTAGTTGTGTGTTTGCAAGGTGTAGATTACTTCTTTGTCACTCAGCATTCGGCTGTGACTCTCTTTAGTGGGCTCGATTTTTCTAACAAAGATTTTTGAAAGCCAAGCATCACTTTTAGGTGCTGAGGTAGAAATGTTCCTGTGTAGAAATACATATTCACATAGAAATCTTTGCCGGTAATTAGGGCAATTTTTTTTAATATGTAACTGAATGAACGTATTAAAGTCTTTACCTTAGATTTTGAGGAATTTTATTCAAATATTTAAGGGAGTTGGCCATTTTTTAACACACCTCCTTTGTTTTTTTGAATACTTTGAAGCTATTTTTAGTTTTTTAAAGTCACAAAGAGGTTATCATATGCCTCTGATATCAATTAGGTAGGTTTACGCATCGAGACTTTCCCTGAGTTGAGGTTGAGATCTCTCTAATCACTATTGGAATTAATACGTTTTTAATCGATGTTTTGCGTAGAAACTAAACATTTATTTGTTTATCGGATATCGTTTATCAATAATAATAATACCAAGTATGACGAGTTTATTTGTATTTTATAAATAGAATAGTCAACATTTCTATTACGGTTTTAAGATTCTTGTGTAAACGCATCGCTTCTGTATCTAGAATTTAGCAAATAATCAGCAGCTAAATCAGCTGATTTTGACATACAAACAATAGGTTTGTTCGAGAACTGATACCCAACCAGTTTAGGAATAATAAAGGCCGGTTTCTCAATAGCGAGTCACCTCCGGGTTGGTCTTAACTCCCGGTTAAACGTGTCCAGTTACAATGTTTACCTTGGAGTTATGCTTAACCCGGGGGTGACTTTCTATTGAGAAACCGGCCCTAAGGATAGGGATGATAGGATGTAGTGTAGGCAGATATTTATTTCTATTGAATTAAAATAATCAGACTTAAAAAAATGAGGCAATATGGAACTGCAGACTGGGAAAGCCTAAAACTCTTTTTCTTCGATGTTTGCGTTCAATCCACTGATCCCTCCGAATTGTACATTCCACACTCCAATAAGACATCCGATACAAGAAAACCATCCTTTTGGTCCTTTGCTATAGGAAAAAATTTCACATCTTCTTCCTTTCCACCTTTAGTTAAAGAAAAAGGGAATCTCTTCTTTGCCATTGCTAATCAAAGTCTAATGTTGCATACCAGCTTTTATAAAGCTGTATGCAACATCCTCTTTTAATTTAAAGGCGCTTTTTAAAACTGGTACTTTTAAAAATTTGTATGGCTCTAGAATACAGATTTTTAAAAGTGACCAGTTTTAAAAAGTGCTTTTAAGTTAAAAGAGGATGTTGCATACAGCTGTAAAGCTAAAACATTACTCAGTCAAAACGGAGAATGAAAGAACAGAAAAAATAAGTCTCACCAAAGCATGAGAAAAAGACAAAAGTATAAAACAATAACAAAGTATCGCGCACAATATACACAAAGGTGTAGGACAAAGAATGACATCACGCTTTTTAATTTTTATACATACAAAATTTAACTCATTACAATAGGACCCAGGATACCTACATGTCACTCGCAGTCAAAAACCAAGTTCCAACATTATTGTCACGGCTCTGGGGTGCGTGACATAAATCTTGGGTCCGTTTATTCCAACATCAAATCCCAATTGACACAGCAATAATTTATTCCACGTTACCATACTCTCTGACACTAATAACTTCACTAATTAACTCAAACAACTCCTCAATACTCTCAACAATATTCGCTATCAAATCGTATATAGCCAAACTCAAATTCAAAACTATTAGCTAATACCGGCCTTTATATATCCGCAATCTATTCGTGTAGAATCCAGAATAAACGCGATAATCCGATGCCCGAATAAGGCAGAATTTAGAGGAATCAATGTTCTAGGATTCTCGACAGCTTGACGGATGCGCCACCGTTAACCTGCTTCCCACAACTCTTTTGTCTCTTTTAGCATCCAAGCTTTCTTATTTTTATTGGAAAGTGATTGAACAGTTTTTCACCTTCATATACAAAGATGGTCGTTCGTATCATCCACGAAAATAGTAAGCTTTGTCGAAATTGGGAGTTGGGGCAAATCATTGACGTAAACGAGAAAAAGAATAGGTTCCAGCACATAGCCCTGTGGGATCCTAACAACGCTCATTCGTTTTCACTCACCATTCTGAAATCTCACACTGCGATCTACTTGATAAGTAGGAGCGAAATGTCAGAATTGATTATTATTTATATGTACGTACATTTTAGCCTGTTTGAGTTACGTAATAAGTTGTATTATCGTACTTAGTGATGTAATGAGCTCATTACATGTACCTATACTAGTGATGTAATATAAATTACTATATAGTAATGTACTTAATGAGCTCATTACGTAACCCATTTTCATTGAAAAACGGCACATTTTAAAATTTATTTATTGGGAATAGTTATAAATTTAATTTAGTCTATTGTGAAAAATTAAAACCATTTCGAATACATACAAAAAAATCTAGGTCGTACATGAAATGTTGTATATCACACGTACGATAATAACGCTCATTACACCACTCGCGTGATTACCACGACTGAGTCTACGACCTCGTCTTGGCAATATATTCCCTACTCGTTACTGTAATGAAGCTCATACCGCACTAGTGATATAAATAACTTTTTTTAACTTTCACGCACCTAAAAGTCACTTTTACGCATTTAAAAGTCACTTTCACGCACTGAGTGCTTAAAGGTAACTTTTACGCACTCAGTGCTTAAAAGAAGGTCGTTTTAAAACTAAAATGAATATCGAAAAGTTGCTATTATGAAACGTCAGTAAAAAAAATCTTGTATACAATACGTTACGAAACGATGATGTTTTTTAGTCCGTTCATTTCGTAACTTATTGTATAAATAGTTAATTGAATATTACTGGTTAGCATAACTCAGTCTGTCAAGATTTCCAGTTGCTTCAAGACTCGTTTTAGTGCTTTTATAATAACCTTCTAATAACAGTTAAAATACGTCTAATTTATTATTGAATCGTCGTTTCATTTACTAGATAGATATACTTGACATGGCGCTGCGGTGAAAATTTGTGATGAAAATTGAGTATTCGGCTGTAAAAATTCTAAATTGATTGAAGTTGTTGACATTTTCGAGAAATTGTGTGAAGGATTTTGGAAAATTAAGAATTTTTCTGTCAAAAATGGACCAGCTCAAGCCTCCGAATATGTTATGGACTGAAGGGGATGTGGTTGTGGTTCCACCCTGTATACAGTCTATCACGTCTTTTTTTATGCTCAATGTGTTCGTTAAAGGGGAAGCAACAGTGTACAGCCTCATGATCGGACAACCGAGTATTGATTAGTAATCTTACACTCCAATTCCATGATACCATATGATACAGGACATGCAGTTTGACACTGGGAAATCTTGTGGTCTCGATGACATTTCAGCAATTGTCCTCAAAACTTGCGCACAATAATTGGCTTCAGTTCTTTGCGAACTGTTTTCAACCTCTTACAGTCGAGGCGTCTATCTAGAAATGTAGCAGAATGTAGCTTATCCCGAAAAACGGCAAGAAAACTCTTTCTAGTAGAAAGAGTTTCTACTTCCGATCATCTAAATCAGTCTTATTGCAGTATTGCACAATCCAGAGAAGGTTCGATATCCTACCATGTCTAGAACATCAGTGGTTAATTCATTTTCATTTACTTCTATTAACTTGCATGAAGTAAAACAAACCTTGAAAAGTAGCAGTATTAAGAAGAATATGTAGTGACTACAGAAATTTTAATCAAGAATAACAAGGACTTACCAAATAACCATCCCAGGAGAGATCATCACTTAGACAGCACAACCAGAAACTTCAATTAAAAATTATCTGAACATCGATATCCAGAAATTATTGAAAGCCGATACTCTATACCCATTGACTGATACATTGGAATGTGAATAAAGCAAAAGTTCATAAGCCTTTTTTTAAAGTGCTTTCAACAATTACCATTCCAAAGAAGCCGAAAAATTTCTAAAAGGATCAATAAATCATGCACGAGCCTATATGATGATACCCACTTAACAAACCACTTAGCGACGCCCTTGATAATTAATTAAAAGGGGACCAAATACACTAATTGATCGGATGCTTCAACCACGAAAAATCGAGGAAAGAAACAATAAAGAAATTCAAGACAATGGAGGGACCAATGATATAAAAAGGCAACTTTGGCAGGAGAAAATCAGAATTCGAGAAAAGAGTGTTCGAGAAAGAGCTAATAAACTGGCAGAACTACGGCGTGAAAGACCAGTATCGGTTGAGTAATCAACAAACAAGTAGGTAGTAATCGAGAATCGAGAGACCTGTGTCCAGAAAGTCAGAACTACGGCGTGAAAGAGTTGTCGAATTAGGCAATTCAAACCACGTGACACTCAAGATGGCGTGGCGGCCACACGCGGCCCAAAACATATCTAATTTCTGCCCAATTTAATAACTTAAGTACCTAGTCAACAAATATTTTATCAAATAATCAAAATTGAAGTCGCAAGCAAAACTCTAAGCAAAATAATTTAAAATACGCATGAAAACATATTCAAAACTGACTTGCTTGGCCGCCACGCCATATTGAATGTTCCTCTTTGACAGATGGATTGAATTGCCTAATTAACCGAGAGAAAAAGCACGACGTGGAATAACAGCGCGAAAATATTGGAGTTTTTTATTAAGTGTTCATAATTAAAGTAAATTCCTTCGACCAATAAGATTTCCATGTAATTAGGTGTGGCCAGCAGTAAATATATTATTGCTAAATGTAAGTAGAGTTTTTTTATGTTCAGCCAGAAATTGTGAAGGCAAGAGTGTGAATCGAGTCAAACTGAAAATAAAATTTTTTACTTGGAATCATATAAATTTTCCTTAACAGTTAATTGATGCTTATTAGAAATCTAACAATTTTATTGTAAGATTATTTATTACCGATGCCTTTTATTTAATAACAAGCTTCGGTATAGCATTGCTTTCTGGGGCTTAACAACTGATTAATTAATTGGTATGTTGTTTATCTTACAGAAGAGAACGTTGAGATATCTTTGTAATGCTAACTATAGAGAATCATGTAAACCTCTGCTTGAATCCAAGAAAATCTTAACCATCACTTGACTCATTTATACTCATCGCAATGACTTTGTTCGGCCTTCTACTAGCTATGGCTATAGTACAAGATCTACCCAGCAAATTAACCCACAGCTTCCTATTCTGAAATCTTCGCTAGTTCATAAATTAATGTACTACATTGATGTTCAACCATCTACCACAAGCAATTGAAATCTCACCCACAATATGAGACTATTAAACTATTTAGAACAGGACTACAGGACCTACTTTCTGATAGAGCCTATTATGATTCGAACGAGTATTATGGAGACAGATTTTGGACCATGATTAGCATGTTTCTAACTTCTATGTTTCAAATAACTGTGATAGAATAGGTTTCTTTTCTCATTTAATTTTATCATTTTGTCCTCCTTATTTGTATTTAAACCTGAGTTTTAAATTTTATGTATTTGTTTATTTGTAGTATCTTTCTATTTAATAAGAAGTAACTTATTCAGTCATGGAGTTTATAGTTTTATGCAAAAAAAAAAATACTCAATAAGTTATATATTTTTTATTTTTTATTATATTTGTACATTTACCAAAGATCAATTTAGATTTAGATTTAAATCCTGACTTTCAAAATTTGTGTAAACTGTGGTGTTTTTTTTTATTTGTCTTATTTTAACTGATTTAACGTTAATATTTGTAATTTTATCTCATCAGATGATTATTCTTACCGTTACCGCTAAATATTTGTGGTGTTTAATTGTCTTACTATTTCGGTTTTTAAATAGTTTCCTTAGTTGTTAAGTTTTGCTTTGTCCACAAAACAAATTGTAATGTTTTTATGACAATAAAGCACACTATTTATCTATCTATCTAGCATCTCACTTATATCAGTAGGTACTTTCGAAAATTGACTGGTTTCTTTTTAAAAGATCAACATCAGGGGATCTACTGGCGTACGTTATTCATATTCGGAATTCGACTCTGGAAAAACATGGTGAATGGCGAATCCAGAGTTGTAGCAATGGAATCTCCAAGGCATTTGACCAGGTGTAGCACAAAGGTCTCCTCGGTAAATTTTGCCATTGGCTGGGGAGCTTTTTGGTCACTGCATGTTGTGGTCGATGGTGTGTCTTCTGATATAGGTACTGGCTATAAATGCCGGCGTTTCCCAAGGCTCAATTTTGTCACCAACACCTGTTTCTGATTTTTATAACTGATTTGTTGAATGTGACGAGAAATCCCATATACATTACAGCGGTTTGGATTACATGCATCTTTCTCTTCTGACAAACCGCTTATTGCAGCCACTTCCACGGGCCTCCCCGTGAACAGATTCACTTTTATCAACGGTGATCTCGACACCATTACCAACTGAGGCCTTAATAACCTAGTGTAATTCAATGCTTCCAAAATTAAAGCCACAGTATTCTCAAATAAGAAATCTTCCGCCGATGATGTGAGGATGTCCAGACAAAACCTTTCTATCAATCCCTTAGTATCTTATTCTGTCGGGGTGACCGCATCGACTTAGGTTTTTTGTTTCTTGCAAGAAATTTCTTTACTTCTGAACAACTTCTATTCCTTTATAAGTCTCAAATCAAACTATGTTCTGTTCCCACATCTGGATCGATACATCGATACTTCCAAGAATTCGTTGGCTCTATTAGATGCAGTACTAATAGTTTTAAAACGTTATCCATGTAAGAACCAATGTGTGGCAGTACCTGAGACGCTCTGCCATTGTCCTCCATCGTGGAATGAATTGGATGCAAATTGTTTGGCGAAGAGATCTGCTTTTTCCTTTGACGATACTACAATGGAATTATTGTCCTGAACTAGAGGTGGAAAGGAAGAAGATGTGATATATTTTTCCATGGTCTTGGCAAAGGACCAAAAGGATCTTAATCCGATTCAGCAGTCCAAAATTCGAGTACGCACTTGTTAGTTGTATAACTCCTTAGCCTCGTTGGTTATAAGGTTTGCAATCATTTCTGGCAGCCGTGAAGGACGATCGAGTTTGTTTGCATTGGTTTTTACGCCAGGTCGCCAGCAGAGCAGGTGGTCATTCCATATCTAAGGAAATTATTTCGGTAACCTCTGGTGCAGCCTCGGCCCTCGGATGGCGAACATCGGACCACGGACCACGGAAAGGTCGAGAAAAAGAGTTTTAGGACTTCCCAGTTTGCAACTCCATAATGCCACACCCTACGAGATATTGGAGCAGGGATATATACAAATCGGCTTCAAAACGTTCTTCGACGTTTTCCGATGCCCAGTCGCTATTGATCTCTATCCAGCCAGAGAACCTCTTCCAGTCCCCGGTCTCTTATCTCCTTGTCTATCCCCTCTCTCCAGCTTTTTCGTGGTCTTCCTCTCTTTCGTCTTCCTGCTGGCTTCCAATCAAGAATCTGTTTTGGCAGTCTCTCATCAGACATTCTTTGTACGTGGCCATACCATTTTAGCTGTTTTGTTCTTATGTCGCCAACGATTGTCCTATTTATACCCATGATTTCTCGAATTCTGTTGTTAGTGATTCTTTCCGCTCTAGATTTTCCTGCAGCACGCCTCCAGAAATCCATCTCTGTCGCTTCGAGGGTACGTACGGTTCTATCCTTTAGCTGCCATACTTCGCTTCCATAGGAGACAATGCTGGGCATTTCTATCTTTAATAGCTTGATCAAGCGTTCCACTACTTGACATCTTCACTCCCAGATATTTGAATTTTCCGCAACCTTCAATGGTTTGACCATTATCCAGTGGCAGATTTTGTTGGGGTCCGCCGACGCACATGTATTCGGTTTTAGATGGCTTGACCTCTAGTCTCCATTTGCTATATTTTTCAACTAGCTTTCTGGTCATATATTCAAGATCGTCAATGTCTTGCGCCATTACCACTTGATCGTCTGCGAAGCTAAGGGTATAGATGGTGTTGTCGTTAAGCGGGATACCCATATTGCTACATTTACGTTTCCATTGTAGCAACACTTTTTCTAAAAATATTTTGAAAAGTGTAGGAGACAGACAACAACCTTATTTTAAACCTTTGTTTGTGAAGAAACCGTTGGAGAGTGTGTTTCCAACTTTTATTTTTAAATGAGAGTTTTTGTAAATTTCCGTAATGGCTTTAATTATCGTTATATTTATGTTTGTTGTCTCTAGGGCTTCCCACAGTTTAACCAGTGGAACGCTGTCGTAAGCTTTTTTCAGGTCTACGAATAATAGGTGGACTTCCTTATTAACGGCTGACATTTTCTCTAGAATTTGTGTTACACAGAAAAGGTGATCAACTGTTGATCTTCCTGCCCGGAAACCAGCTTGTTCTTCGGCTTCGTTGACGGCGAATTCTTGTTCTATTCTGGCTTTAAGTACCTTACCGTATAATCTACTTATCGACCCCGTAACTGCAATGCCCCTGTAATTGCCACATTCATCTTTACTACCCTTTTTATGTATTGGGAGCTGAGGGTATATCTAAGTGCGGTCGTACACCAAGGAAACATCAAACATGCAACATGCGACTTGCGACCTGAAGTAAATACCGCAGATAGACTTGTGCCGCATATCCAATGTAAAAATGTATCATGATCATCGTACACCGGTGCAGCAAACGCGTATGCTGCAGTGTGCTGCGCCAGTGTACGATCATCCCGAGACATTGTACATTTTTAGAATGGATATTTGCGGCACAAGTCTACCCGCGGTATTTTCTTCATGTCGCACGTTGCATGTTTGATGTTTGATGTTTTATTGTTGAAGTACGACCGCGCTAACAAACGAACTCCGAGCGGAAACCTATCTGCGGTCTGCACACACATCGATCTTGTGAGGATCTGGACTAGTGGTAAGGAATAAATCGAGTAAGTTGGCCTGTTGAGAAACGGTATCGGGAATACGTATGGGCTCTTCTACCGGTTGAGTAAGGCCGTGTGTGATTTGTGAAATGACAAATCCTTCAGCAATCCTACCAGCATGAGTTGTTTTGTTCGCGGGAACTTAAGCCACTCTGTGAGTTATGAACATTGAAATTTTCGAATAGTATAAACTCGGAGTTCGGATGAGTCTCCTGAATAAAATTAAATAAATTTTTCAGATTTTCAAATAGAAGTTCATAAATGGAGTCCTTGGGTTGGTATCTATTTGTTGCAGCTGTTGTATTATTCAACTGGTATTCCATTATTCACCTCAAAAATTCGCCTTTATTGATTCAAAATTCATGGGCAATAAGTTATTATAATAATCGAATTATGCCTACCTATCTTAATTGTACATTGCACAAATTACACAGAAGAATTATCAATTATTTTGAATCTACCAGAATTACATGCAACCAGCAACGACTGATGCTGCAACCAGCAACCAGCAATGACCGTTGTAAATTAGAAAAATGGTGCAAGCAAGTCGCATTTAACTTTTTTTAAAGCTATCTTTGTCTTCCCCACAAGATTATTGTCTTCATTTCAAAAAACGTACGTTGTAATTTACAATTTGATTGGTGAAGATGTAGGCTTGTTTCAACAGCAATCACAAACACGTCAGAAACGACTAAAGATTGAATTTGATTGGCCCACTACGGAATTTCAATTGTTTTCTTTCAATCAAAATAGTTGTAGAAACAAACCTGGTGGGTGATGGTCCCAATCCCAATAAAAGGAGGTTAAAGTCTTGTGTTGTGTGTTCTATTTTTAGATTTTTTTTTCAGTTTCTTATGTTTTTAATCCATTGCAAGTTGCAAATGTATCCGTAAAGTTCGCCCGATTTCTCACGATAGTTTTCGCCAATTAAAGCCCCAAACTTGTGCCTGTTTTTGGTGTACAATTTTGAAAAGAAAGACAAACCAAGAAAATGCCTGTGTTTCACACGAAAACTATAGAATCTATTTTGGAGCCCGTTGCACAACAGGTAACATGATTTGTTTATCAATTAATATTTTAAAAATAAAATTGTTAGTCATTTTTTTGGCAAAAGTTGATAAGCTCCAGCCAGACAAACGGAAAGGAGAGACTCACAGGAAACTGTCTACTAGGAAAGTCCTCCTTAGAAATCCAGGGTTTTTTCCTGAAAATAGTGCTACTTTTTTTGCATTATAGGCGTTGGTTGGTCAGCTTTCATTTTATTGCATGTTTTGTGACCTGGAATAAAAATCTTCAGGATCAAATTAATTCATGAATTGAAATTTTATTGAAATATTTAATAAGCTGTTTAGTCCCTTTTTCAGTTTGATTAAATATTTTGTTGAAAAATCCCAATGATCAGCTGGTTTTAGATCAAGAGTCAAGAGACTCGACGCTCGACATCTTGCCCAAATAAGGTTATGTAGCATAGTATGTTTACTGTGAAATTTTTCTTGCATTTTTCATGCCCACTAGTTTATGTTAAATTGTTTAATAATGTGTGAAATTATAGCAGCTGACGCCTACAGCGGAAACGTTTACGTCAGATTTAATTGAATCTGCTTTAGGCACCTCACCATCTCATTTTATGCTGGTATGCCTAAATTGGAACTTGTCAATGATCTATGAATTCCTTCCTTATTATAATCTACCCAGCATACAGAATGACCATGGTCCATGGAGACCAGCTCACAATTTTTTACTGAAACAAATTTTTTAGGCGACTGTCACAAAAAGATTAGTTTTACGGATTCAATATCATCCCTAAAGTATATCTTTTTTGGCCGCATTTACTTTACGGCCGCATTTACTTCATGACCGCATTTGCTTTATTACTTTACGGCCGCTTTTACTTCACGGCCGCTTTTACTTTACGGCCGCTTTTACTTTACGGCCGCTATATACTTTATAAATAAATAATAAATTCTTTATTTACGGACATGCCATTTTTACAAAGGTAGACTTAAAGTATAGGTACACGCAATAATAAATATTTGGAATAACAAGTAGGCAACAGACAAGTTAGTATAAAAAAACAATATTACATAAGCCTAAACAAATATTTTGTAGTAGGTATCAAAACATAAACAACATAATACGCTTAAAATTGAATACAAATAAAAAAAACGATCATTTTAGGATCGACTTTAAAATTCTTTTGAATCTATCCAAACTTATGTTAAAAACATCCAAATCAGTCTTCAAAATAATATCATTCAGAGAACGACAGCTTCTAAGTAAAGGTGAATGGTAACCATAATTGGTTCTACGAAAATCAAGGTTAAACAATGTGTTTCCTCTTAAATTGCTAGATGGTACATGTAAGCCAATTCTAGCAAGTAAGTCTGGAGAATCAATAGAATTATTAACAATCTTAAACAAAGTACACATATCAAAAAACTGTCGCCTCTGGTTCAGATTTTCAAGATTTAGGACAGACATTAACTCATTATAATTTATAGATTCACTTGGGATGCCCAATCGATATGCAATGGATCTTAAAAACTTTTTTTGGATTCGTTCCAAGTGGGAGATGTGCACAGCATAATAAGGGGACCAGACAGGGCAAGCATATTCTACAACTGATCTAACAATTGCACAATAAATGTTTCTTAGGGTGTAGATATTAGTAAATTCTTTTAGTGACCTGAACATAAAGCCTAGTAATTTATGTCTATCAACTTAGCGAGACAACTTCGAAAAATCGATTTTCCGTTATGCCAAGAATTTGCCGCTTTTTTGCCGCTAATTAAATGTGGAATTAAAAAATTTGCCGCTCTTTTGGTTTTTTCTTAATTACGTGTTTTGCTAACTTGACGTCAAGATAGCGAGACAACATCACTAAATATGTCAGCAGTAGAAAATTAGGTAGATGAAAATTTGCCGTTTTTTTGCCGCTAATTAGTTGTGTAAACCAAAAATTTGCCGGTTCTTTTTTTTCCATAAATAATCATGTTTGAAAAAAAAAATCATTTGTTTCGCTAACTTGACGTCAAGTTAGCGAGACAATATCACTAAAAATGTCGGTAGTGAAAAATTGAATGAATGGAAATTTGCCGTTTTTTTGCCGCTAATTAGTTGTGAAAACCAAAAATTTGTCGCTTCTTTTTTTTACAAAAAATCAAGTTTCAAAAAAAATCATGTGTTTCGCTAACTTGACGTCAAGTTAGCGAGACAATCACTAAAAATGTCGGTAGTGATAAGTTGAGTGAATGGAAATTTGCCGTTTTTCTGCCGCTAATTAGATGTGAAAACTAAAAATTTCCGCTACCTTGCTTTTCATAAGAAAATCGTGTTCGAAAATAAAATAATAGGGACATAAAGCTTCCGTATTTTTTGCTCGGTATCCGTATCGGTATCGTACTGCGCATGTGCAGAAGCGATACGGAGGCCGAGATACCGTACGTACAACGTAACGTTACGGCCCTCTCGCGGTATCCGTATCGGTAACGTATCTTGACATTCCTGACGAATGTGTCAAATTTTAAATGAATATAACCTCACTTTTCTTCCGGGTTGATTCAATTTGTTTAGCTTATACTTTCTTGAGTTTCTTGTGTGTTTAGTGCTTCTCTAGCGCAAAAAAAAAAATTAACAATTTTAAGGTTAGACATAAAAATGCCGGAGTTTTGAGGCAAAAATTTTTAGGTTATGAGATGCTATTAAGTTTACCGGAACAGGGAGCGCTTTAACAGCCTTTTCGCTTGTCAACGTATCTAGTTGCGTTACGGATACCGATACCGATACCGGCGAATTATTTCAAGTAGCTTTATGTCCCTAATGTCTTGCTAATTTAACGTAAAGTTAGCGAGATCACTAAAAATGTCGGTAGTGATAAATTGAGTGAGTGGAAAATATCGCGTTTGAAAAAAATATGTGTTTCGCTAAGTTGACATCAAGTGAGCAAAACAGTATCATTAAAAATGTCGGTAGAGAAAAATGGAGTGATAGAGAAAAGCTGTGGAAATTTGCCGCTTTTTGCCGCTAATTAAATATGAAAACCCAAAAATTTGCCGCTCTTTTTCTCCATGAAAAAATCGTGTTTGAAAAAAACTTGTGTTTCGCAAGGTTGCCGTTAAGTTAGACCGACATCGTCACAAAAAACGAATGGCAGTATAAAATTAGGTGAGTAAAAGGGTGTTCCGTTATAAATGATCTCCCACCCTTGATTTTTATTTTTTATGCACCCTGTAAGTATATTTTAATTAGTGAAACTCAACATTTGTTGGAACAAATATTTATTTCTAAATTTTTTGAAAATAGTTTTTCAGTTTTTTTTTCTTTAGCTTAGGAAAACTCTATTGGAGGCCTTATAGATTTCAAAAATCAGAAAGCGAAATATCGTGTGCTCATTTATACAGAAAATAAAATAAAATTAGAAATAAAATTAAATTGGAATAAAATGGAAATTATCGATAATTTTTGGCAAATTTTCCCGAATGCATTTTTAGTTGAAAAAAAGCACGAGGGACGAGAGTGCCTTTTCCAGTTAAAAATGCATGAGAGCAAATTTCTCAAAAATTATCGATATATTTCCATTGCTCGAGTTGTATTTTATGAGAGAATTTCATGAATCAAAAATTTAAATTTTTAGTATATCCTCGTAAGTATAAAATGTCACCAATCAGAAAAAATGTCAAATGCCACCCGTTAGTTAAGCAATTATCCAATCCGATAATCTTGCACTAGTACAAATTATCACGTAATCGTAATCTGATTGGTTGAAATCAACAATTAAAAAATGCCAGTTTATGCATGGGATCTGTGTCATTTGCGCGAGGGAGAAAAGTGCGATATAAAAAGCGCGAGGGACAAAATCACGACGGAACAAAAACGCGACAGGACAAATGCGCGATGGACAAAAACGCGACTGGATAGAAGCGCGAGGAACAAAAGCGCGAGGGACAAAAGCGCACGACTGCACAAAAACGCGACTGGATAAAAGCGCTAGAAGCAAAAGCGCGAGCGACAAAGCGCGAGGGGACAAAAGCGCGACAGAACAAAAACGCAGCTGGATAAAGCGCGATTGGCCAAGAACGCGAAGTGCCTTACTACGAGAACTGAAGATCGTTTTCCAAAATACAAGATATTTTCGGTGGCTCCGGTTCAAAAGAACGATATTTAAAATAGCAACATCAAAAAGGCGACATATTGTTAAAGCGATATATCAAAATAGCGACATTTGGAACAGCGACATCTAAAAAAAACAGCAACATATCAAAAGAGCGACATATGTAAAGAACGAGATTCAGAACAGTGACAAATTAAAAGAGTGATTTACAACGACGACCTCTAAGCAAAAGAGGGAAACATCAAATTTTTCCAATATTAATCAAAATTATGTAGACTTAATCAAACTAACCCGTCCGTCTAGGGCAATCTCGTCCTCGTGAGTTAGCATTTTATTCAATTCAATTCAATTCAATTTTTATTGTTTCCAGAAAGTATTTTCTATAACAATGAGTGCTCTAAATCTAGTAAACGTAGTGGTTTGAATTACAAAAGCAAAAATAAACTTATAAAGGAGGGAATATAATTTGTTTTGAATTTGGATACGTATTTGTTATTAGAAACGAACAAAAAATAATAATAATCTAAATAATCTTAATCTAATTACAAAGCGAAAGATAAAGTTACTTGTATTTCTATGTATAAACTAAAAACCAGAAGGGTTCACATTTTGGTGCCTAATAAAAGTACCTATGGAAGGGGTCTATACAACAAAAAAAAGAGAGAAAGTTGATATTTCTAACAAATTCTAATCCTGCGATATCAAAAAGGATCGAAGCCTGAGGAATGACATTATGGTGGAAGCAAATGTTTTGGCAGATACTGGAGCTAAGGTTTCAAGTAAATTGAGAAATGAGTCAGGGCTCGACCATGTTAATGGTCTGACTTCTCTATACATTGGACATCTGAAAAGAATGTGGTCTAATGTCTCTAGTTCAGAGGTGTTACAAACTGTACATATTATGCGGGGGTCAAGTTTATAGAGGATAGAATTAAAGG